AGGTGAGGTGGGGGAGTCAGATGGTCTGAAGATTATAGAACTACAGCTAGCAGAGGAAGAGGAAGGCATGGAAAAGGAGGCTGAAACTCAATGTGCTGTTCCAAGAAGGAGAGGAGGGTTCGGTATGGAGCTCTCTCTGTGTGCGCGTGTGCGTGCATGTGTGTGTGTGTTACAAAGCACTCTTTCTCATCTACCTCACTCACACCGTCCCTGCTCTGGCATCAAGCACTGGAAGAACTGGAGGCCACTGTAGCTATCCCTGCTGCAGAGGCCAAAAAGCAGTTACACATACACAAAACACACAAAAAACACAGTAATCACATTGTTCATCACATTTACAAGTGAATAAACCTGCATATTTCCATTTGGGCTCTTTCATAAGTGTAGGAAACTCTTCTATTTCATTCAAACCTAATGCAAAAAGTCCACTAACAACATTACATGCACAGTGTAATCCCAGCTGATAAACCTCATGTTCCTAATTAAAATCGACGCTCTCTGCTCTGATGATATAGCTTACAGTATGATTAGACGTATTACTCTTTGCAAATATTTACTCAGTCACACACACACACACAGTCAGAAGCACACACAGCTGAGCTCAGCAGGGAGCAGGGCGCACTGAAGTTCTTCGTTGTAGAGGAATGTGTTGTTTTGGCTCAGACGTGAGTGTGTATTCTGTATCACAGGAGAGCGAGCGCCTTTAGCTTTAGCACACCTTTTACTCAAGCAGGTCTGCAGGGCTACCTAAACAAGCTCACAGCTGAACACACACACACACACACACACACGTCAAGCTGCCTGCTCCTTAATACAGGATATAAAATACTGATTTATGCATCAAGTTAAAGTACAAACACTAATGGTGATTACAAGAAGTTAAGTTCTTTAGCCACCATAAACTCTCCACACATGTTCAAACTGCAAAGTACAAATGTATTTCGTAGGGTTGTATACATCAGGATAACACAAAACAGTGTGTTATTTTGAAGGGGAGTGTTTTCAATAAGATGTTTCTTAAAAGTATTTTTAAATTGAAATATGAAAGGCTCTTACGACTACTACTACTGTGATGAATCCAACAGATTTTTGCCACCTTGGCTGCTTTTGTTTTTGTAAATTTGAAAAATGTAAAAAAAAATAAAAAAAATAAAAAAAATGTAAAGAAAATATATATTAAGGAGATGATGACTTGTGCTAGGCACTGTGACTAAGAGACAGAAAATATAGAGACAGAGTTTAAAACATAACAAATTTAACAAAATCCCAGCTCAGAAAACCAAACCTTACAAAGCTTTGCTGTCCACTAATAAATGAGATTAACCTTTACTCTTACTACAAATTCAGTTTCATCAAGGTTTAAAGTCATCAGTCTACTCTGTCTTCACAAACAGATTGAGGTCCACTGTCCCAGAGCGGGCAGGGATTATATGCAGTCAATTTGGCTTTTGGCCTGCAGGACCAACCACATTTAGAAACGTGAGGTCTGTGGGGGCTCACTATCTGTTACCAGAGCTGATATTCAGGATGATTCGTTTACAATTGGGAGATGGAAAAATAGCCACAGTTAACACATGACAACACAAATGTGCATGGAAACAAACAGAATCATACTATAGAATTGTGATAAGTCTTACTTGATCAAAGAGGTACAGCAGTTTGTGATCTGATATCAGATTATAGAGGATGCAGTCAGTGGATATTTCGGGCCTGCTCGTGTCCACAACTATCCGCACAACTATCTGAGGCATGACCACAGCTAAGTTTAGGGTTTGGGAGCGTGTGAGAGGTCAAACACGAGTCCAGCTGGAAACTACCGTGCGACCCCCACAAGAGCTTGTTGTCAACAGGGGTCACAGTCTGAACTTCCATGACTGCAACATTTTGGGGTCAAGTGTCTGTTTTAGTTTGAGGCCCTGCAAAGAATGTTTTGATGAATATTCAAATGAAAACTCCTGTAACTCTATCTGATACACAAAGAAACAAATAAGCCTTCCGACTTAAATAGTACGTTTGGATATTTCACTGTTCCTCTATAACAGTTCCAACAAATGTATTTGGGGGTAATGCCTCAACAATATTAATAACTGCAGCGTGACCCAGTAACAGAATCTCTTAATCCTTCACCAGATCATATCATTGGTATGATCAGTATAGCGGCCAGAGCTGAGGCAGCTTAATGCTCGGGCTGCACAACAGAACAACTTAGACCAAGTGAGGTCAACACAATAACACAACCACATATAATATTGTACTTTTGCAAACAATGACTGCCTCACAAAGCTTCACCATTCTCAAGAACAACACTTCAATCCCCTTAAACAACCATCCACATCAACTCCTGCAGAGCAACTATTCATTAGAGTCCAGTTTGCAGGGTAAAATTAGACGCGGGAGAAAGTGTCCATCTACGGCCCTGGGGCTATCAGAGGGGAGAAGAGGGGACAGGACAGGGGGTCAAAGCCCAAAACGACCAAGAAAGGAAGAAGGAAACAGGGGGATATACAAAGCAAGCAAACAAAAATCTGTGTTTATCTGATTTTAGGGACAGGAAATGGTGTGTATGTGTCTATAAATCGCAGTGGGTTCAATGACATCATGCTTGTCGCTCCTGGTGGGAAACAGCAATCACATTAGACCATTTCCTGTTTCCCATCAGACACCTCTCTTCCTGTGCTCTTGGGGCCAAAATGCCTTTAACACTTTGCATGAGACTTCAGAAAAATCAGTGCAGTAGTGACTGTCTTATGGGCCTTATATGAGAGGCAGGAAAAATGGATAGAAGAGAGTGCATTTGACAGAGGAATGCACTCATTCCAATTCTAACAGACTTGTTAAAACCTGAAGAGCAGAAATGTTACTTCCTTAGCTTGAAAATAACACAGCGGCTGCTCTCTCTCCCTCCTGACACAGCAATTATGCATGCTTGAGGAATGCTGGCGCCTCAGGACATACATCATCACTCATTTTTTTAATCTATTTATTTTTCAAAACAACAGATATTTTCAGAGGTGAACTAGTGAAGAAAAAACAGGATAAGATTCTGAAAATGGTATAAAAATATTATACCATTGTGTGTGTGTGTGTGTGTATCAAGTGAAAGGGCTTTTAGATGCCGCTACAGGTACAAAGAAAGGAAGACGCAAAGGGTTTTACAGTGTAATGGTAACTGCAAGTTGTCCTAAAAGGGCTGTAAGAAAATACTCTTGGGCAAAACACATCCTTAGCTTGCTGAAGTTACAGTTAGACTGTGGGCTGTTCAGCTCGGCGATATACAAAGAATCCCTGTCTCATAAACCCACCCGGGCAGAGGAGACATGGGGGGATGGAGGGGAGAAGAGTGAAAGAGCATGTGAGCAAACAAGTGAGTGTTTACCAGCAAAAAATACTCAGAAGAGGACGACAAACTGGAATTCTTGCAGGGAAAAGCCTCTCTGCAAACCTTTTGCACCAGTGCAAAAGTGACAAGGGGGTTTCCCTCATTGCTAAACAAGGGGCTCATCATCTTGTTATTATGCATTCCTGCTTTTGCAATTGCATTTGGAGGAATAAGACTAGTATGAAAACAACAAATTGTTGTTGTCTAAGACAGAAAATGCCCTGTCTGTTATCTACATTCCACCATAATGCCCTAAATTCAATAATCAGACAAAGTGCCATTTATCAGGCTATATGACCAAGCTGTAAACAAGTTTCTACATCAAAGGAGGCTCTGCGACAGGAACTAATATACCAATTTGTGTCTCTTCAAATAGTTTGTGAGAAAGACCTTGTGATAGCTGAGTGTTTCAAGCCACAGGCGCCAGAAAGAAAAAAGCCTAATGAAAATCATTTACACATTGTTCCCTACAACATAAGAGGCTCTGGAGCTAAATGAGAGGCTCAAAAATGCTTAAAAACAGCCCCAAAAAGAATAGACTATACCTCCAACTGCATCCATCACTAAGGGTTGAAGTTGGCTTGGTTGGGTGTTACTTCACAGTCACATTTATTTGAATTGTTAAAAAGCCGGACACCCTGCACGCTCAGCGGTACTTGGCACAGGTAGACCGACAAAGAAACACCTCACACATGAACACCATGCCAGACTTCTAGCAAGTATAACACTTAGGCAAGTGATATGACCTCACTGACACCCCTGATGTCACACAGTTGATCGCCTTTTGGAATAGTGAGAAAGAAGCTGTCTGCTCTTAACACCTCCAAACAGCTGCAGAACAGACAGCCAAGATCTTTTTGGATTATGGGGCCAGAAATTGGAGTATATTAGAATTTCCCTTTGAAATTCTTGAAACATCTCCAATGACCACGTGTCTTATCTTCCCCTAAATGTTTGCAAGGACGAAAGAGACATGTTCCTCTGATATCTGCTCTGCAAAAAAGGGATTTTAGAGATTTGCACAAAAAGGTGCCTGGATATCCTAGTTATGGTCAACCTTTGTGGTGAAGTCTTTCTTTAGGAACACAATTCTAGCCTATACACAAACACACTCCTTATGGGCTTATGAGGCCCATATGTGCAGCTGTGGACTGTGTGTGAACCCACAGTTGGAAGGGGAGACGCAGAGAGGGAAAGATGGATGGCATGCAGTGTTGTTTTTCTGTTTGCTGTCAGTGAGAGCTTTTCAATCTGCAAATGGGGAGACCACACCAGCGTCAGCTCCACTTGTTTGTCACATAGAAAGATTCTTTAACCAACTCCTGTGTAAACTTTACAACGGGCTGAGGCACAGCTGCAGACACAGAAATCTAACAGAGGGAAGCACTATACCAAAAGAGGGTCTTAAAAAAGATCGCTGCTCGTACTCATGATGGATGTCCATCAGTTTCTTAGAAAAAAGCAAAACAGTCTGAGACGTGATCTCACACTTCTTTCACTGACACACCCCATAGCTTTGAGATTGTGTAAAAACTGGCAACGTAAGTGCAAATGATATAGCAACGAAAACGACTGTAAAACAAGTTGTGTACGACTGGATATGAAATAAAATAAACTTTACCTGTAAACTGAGTGCAATCTGACGTATGTACATCATATTGAGGTCCTCCAATATCCACAATTTTTCCTCCATGTTTGCAAGTGTATCAACTGGCATCCTTTACGCAGATATCCACAAAGTGACTTCTTTTTAAGTTCCTTATCCGACCCAAAAGCGCTATCCCGCAGGTACTGTAGAGAGCAAGTCCATTATAACAGAGTCCTGTTCAGTCACTGCTCGTAAGATCAGCGCGTAAAGCAATGCGTAAAAGTTATCCAAAACGAGACCAGTCCCTCCTTGAAACAGTCAGAGGTGTGGTTGACAGCATCGGCTGCACTGTTGTAACCCTGAGCATAAATTTCCCCCAACCCGTTCACGGCGCGTATTCTTCTTCTTCTCTACTTTCGCTCCGGGCAACAAAGATCCTCTCTAACACCCACAGTCAACACCCAGCGGTAGCGGGGGAAGAATGGAGCCTTTTAAAATGCAGTTTTTTTCTTTGTGTCCCTGAGTCCCAGCTGTGAATGCCGTCTGTCCTCTGTGTGACAAGAGACCTCTCCACAAAAGGGCATCGCCTCTGCGGGAGTGAGCCACACAACTAGTCCACTGTGTGCGCCCTGACGCGCCCCAACACGGCGCTATACATTAACCCCTACAACGCGTCTCTGCTGATGTTAATGAACTTTACAGAAGAAGAAAGAGAGGCAAAACGGGGCAGAGATTACTGTAGGAGCACCCACTCCCTTCTAAACAAATAAATAGCAAATACCACAGCACCATACATGCGGAGCGGGGTGGGGAGCTTTGTTCTTGTTTTACAGGCTGATAATAAATGGAGAAATTATAGCTTGTCAGATGGCGCTCATCGGGAGGGCATCAGTGAAAATGAACACCAGACAGGACTTCTAACACCAATCCTAGCCACAAAGTCTGGGTGGCCCCCTACCAAAAATATATTATTTCTGTTTGTTCCGAATTAACGACTGTGACATAGTTCAAAAGATGAATTCAGATATCACGTCGTGCTGTTGTTAAACTCTGATAACGAAAGCACGTATGGGTTTAAAAGTGAGATATGAACGTTAGTAGGTCACAGGGTCACAAACATTTGGCAAATCCATATACATATTTCATAGCGCACATCCTCAGTGTCACAGATCCTTTTAATATTTTATCGCTCAACCCTTTAAATATTGATTTCAGTCTTTCCTGACAAATCTGACCGCATCCAACTAAAATATAGCCTACCGGCTCCCAAACAACGCGTAAAGTCCACATACAGTTTAATGTAGTTCATTAGATTAAGCTACGAAAACGTGGGCTCATGGTTACAGGAAGATTCTGTATCCCGGCTGAGTGGTAAATATTTAATGTCGACTTCCAGAGCAGAGAAAGTGTCCTTTCCAATCATTCCATAGTTCGACGATCAGTTTCTTCTCTTCCCGAAACAACAGAATCCGAAAGTCCACTCCATGGAACTTTCAGACATAAACTGTACTGATAGTCCGCTTCTGTACGGGAAATGGTTTACAAACAGACAATGTCCTCAGAACACAGGGCAGACAGAGACTCAAATATTCATCCTGTCCTCCTCTGCGCGTCACTCCTGGACCTCATACAGCTGTGTGTGAGAAAGAGAGAGAGAGAGAGCGAGAAAGAGAGTGTGTGTGTGTAAGAGAGAGAGAGAGAGAGCGAGAAAGAGAGTGTGTGTGTGTGTAAGAGAGAGAGGGGGGGCACGTGTGTGTATCTTCATTGTGAGTCGTGGGTGATGAGACCAAGCTGCGCAAACCCAAAGCCCACCATCGGGAAAGCGGCGTCACATTGCGCACTGCTCACTCAGGCACATTAATTAAAACACACACATTCTTCCGGTATTCACCTACCCACGCGGGGGTTTCAGAGGGTCACTGAATCATTTCAAGAGCTTATCCTGAAGAAGTCCCCCCCCCCCCCCCCCCACACACACACACAACTGTAAGTTGAAGAAGAACATTTTAAGGTCTTGTCTTTGATGCATTTCACTTTAACATGTCTTTTAGGACCCCCTCTCTCAATTCGAATACCCCTTCTGACTTTTCATGACTCTGAAGCATGTCCTCTAAACTTCTTCAAACAAGCAAACAGTAAAAACAAAGGAGCTGTAAAAAAAAAAAAGCCCTTTCACCTCCAAGGAGAGGAGGAGAGCAGCCAGGGGTGCTGGTAGCAAAAGAAACCCAGGTCATTTCCCGAAGAAAAGCCTCCACCCTTAAGAGTTTAAATCACATGGCTAATCCGTTGCAGACATCATACACACAGCCAGAGAAGAGATTTATTGTTCTGGAGGTGGAAAGAGAAATAGTTGAGGTGAATGCAGAGAGGGAGAGGGCTCAAAAACATTCAAAAACTTTTGAGCAAATGTGTGTGTGTTGGGGTGTGCTGGGGTGTGCTGGGGTGTGTGTGTGTGTGTGTGTGTGTGTGCATGCATTATGTTCATAGTTCACTCTCATATTCAGGCTTTTCTGAAGTTGTTTTTGCACTGTAAACACATTCAGTTAATACTCAAACACCCTAAGCGGTGGAATATAATGTGTTAAAACAGCTAACCTCCTCAAATAAAGGGATTTTTTTTTATCACAGCTGTTCTCCGTTATCATTGGCTGATGCAGATGTTTTTGAAGAGCGAACCACAAACTCGACAACATCTCATTATTCTAAAGTCATGTAAACCTTTTAGGCCCTCTTTTGTCTCTCTGATGCACAAGCAGCAGTTCAATGCAGCAGGTAAATCTCCCTGCAGTAAGACACAAAGACTGACACCTTATGACAAAGCCCAGAGGCTGACCAAAAACAGACAGAAAACAGCTATTATCTCAATGACAGGGCATGCTGGCAGGCTGGCAGGCAGGGGGTGACTTGCTCAAACACAGAGCATCTCTGATCCTTGGCCAGGTGCCACAGAGGTAATCTCTGATGTTAAGAGCACAGAGAGGCCAAACAGCTTTAGACCTGACTGAGATTTTATTGTGTGAAATGATGATTTTAACTACTGATGGGAAAATGCGTTTACAGGTTGTGGCTGAAGAGTGGGTCCACCTGTAGCAGAGACAGATGTGCCAATTGCCTGCTACTACAGGGAGGACTGTTGAGCCCATGCTAAGTCTGTGAAGAAAAAAAATACTGGGAGCAAAACACTAACATAAATCACTTAAATATAGAGATATGGACATTTTGACATTTGGAACACACAAAAACATACCCACACTGTTGCATAACACGTTCTGAGGGTGTTGTTTGCTTTGAAGACAATGGCCGGTATGTTTCCGTGTTTCTGAACGGATGTGTGGAGGACTAAGGAGAACGTACTAACCCTCACACTCAATCAGCTGGAGGAAACATGCTGCAGTCAGAGCTGAGGGTCACTCTGTCAGTCTGTGCTGATGTATCAGGCAAAGAAGGGAAGATGGTAGGAAAGGCTGTCAAGACAGCTGGACTCCATATCATTTGTCTTAGAATTTAAGATACAATTATCCAAAAGAGTAAAACAGACACACTGTCTTACTGTAAGAGTAAGATACTTTCCAAAGACCGAAAGAGATCTTGGTCACAACTGGACAAGTCTGATAAGGGAAGTGAAAAAAAAGCTTTGAGATGATAAAACATGTTTAAACAAGCCAAATATTTGGGCAACAAAGAATCGTAACCATGTTTTTCTGGAGGTATTATGAAGTGACAGCATGTACAGTGTTTCAAACAACATTTTGTTGAAGGTCTGTAGGTATGAGAGAAGTCTGGGAATATAACATTCTTCATTATTCCAATGAGGACATGACTTGCAAGATTTTACTCAACATTTTTATCTTAAGGCAATTACTTTCTTTGCGTTTAATCTTTGTTTCAGTATTTTTTTTAAACTCGGATCACACCCACAGTTCCTGCCATTGGAATTTTCATTATTAAAGATTAGAAAGAAAGAAAAAAGCTCTGCAAATAAGACTCTGTGATAAAACACAATCCCTTGGGAGGGACCACTACAAGGATTATCGTACAAATTTCTAAATGTAATCAGCATTATATTATCGGCTCAGATAGAAACTTCTCTTTTCGTCCACACACAACTGTGGAGTATGAAGGTTAAAGCTGCCTTTAGCCTGACACACGCTGAAGCAACAGATCTGTGCAGAGAAACAGGAGAGGGCCCCTGCCATAGCCGAGCCCCATACCACAACAAAGAGCCCAGACTGTCATGTAGACGCAATCTGAAAACTGAACCCCACCCACATGACTCCCACTCACCCACCGAGGCTTACACACACACATACACAAACCTACACTTACATACAAAAATACACACCCAGGGATAAACAGACATAAACAAACACTCTGTGAACCATGTGAACATAGTAAACACAGAATTAGAGCGTCTCAAGATGTGAGACAAATGCAGCTGATCATGGTGTTTGTTACTTTGATTAAGACTGATTTCAAACACATTTCTGCAGTTGTTTGCACAAAGAAAGGGAGGGAAAATGACACCTGTCATCTGAAAATGGTTAAAAGCAAAGCACAAAGACTAAGCTGTTCCAGTAAAACGTGTGGAGCGATCTGCTGATTAATCAAAAGAAAACAAATCTCAAACTATTTTGAAAATCCAAAAATCTTTCAAGCAAAAATGTCGAACATGTGTCTCCCAAAACTTCTTCAAAATCTGTTAAGTAATGATGTGATTTTGGGTGTTGGACTGACAAATAAAGAAATAAATTAAAGAATGAAAACGTTGTGCTCTCGTAAACTGAGATGAGGATGTCACCTTTCTGTCCTATAGAACCTGCAGTTTCGATTTACCGAAAAAATAAAATTAAAGGTGCACTATGTAGATTTGGTAGGGAAATTTGAAAGTTGGAGAAGTGAAACTATTCCATGCTATATTTTCTGAACTAAATACACAACTTTATTCAAATAAAAGAAATTGGTCCTTGGAACACTGTTAAGAGCTAAAAAAAAAAAAAAAAAACATCCAGGAGAGACTGTCGTGGGCCCACCACCTCTTGTCGCGGGCACCTTTAACTATTTAAAATATTCATCACAAATAAAACAGAGTTCACAAAGATCTTAAGCTAGGTCACAATAAGTTAAAAGGAAACCTTCTTTGATATGCTCAGCCAAAACATTAAACATGTTGGGTTAAACCAGGACCAGATACATAAACCAGTGATAGTTATAAGGCTGCATAATAGATTTTTTTTCTTCCTCCCTAAAGTCACAGGACTTGAATTACACGGCTGTGTTACAGCAGGCGCTGGGTCACATCTGCTCGGTGTGATGACAGCATGGTGAGACGAACTGTGAAACCACACGTATCAGAAGAGAAATTCCCCCCCAGAGGTCACCACTTCTCGGTTACAGAGCATGGAAAACCTGTGCCGACAGCCTCGCAGCCATAACTCAGACGCAGAGATGCACTAACAACACTGTAAATCTCAGCTAGTGTCTACCTTGTTATTAGGTGTGTCAGTGACTGATCTGTACTCTGCTTTAAGATTAGATACAGAGGGTGTTGTGGTGATGCATTTTGTAAAGACCGTTCTGCTCCAGATACATGATCAGAAGTTGAGTAATGTTGGAAATGATGTGAGGCATGAACACACAAATTATGCAGCTGGTGCTCTTCTACTGGAAATTGAAGAAGAGGATGTGTGCATCACAGATTATGGACCAGCTCAGAAAAACATGATGAGTACACCTCACTTATCATCAGCAATAACAGAACAGGGAGTATTTTTAGGACCTGGTTTAAGGGATAATCTTATTTCTCAATGTTACTTCTTGCTAAGAAGGAAAAGCAGGCTCAAGTACTCGGTCACACACACACACACACACACACACATACACACACAAACACACAAACACACAAACGAGAGAAGCAAAGTGCTCTGGCTGCTTCCCAGCATCCTTGCTGACTCTTAGGATCGCTGCCTCAGCCGGTCAGAGGAGACTGCAGCATCTCATCACTCTGAAGAGTGGAGCAGAAAACACACTCGTTAGGCAATTCATCTCCATTGATTTCTGCCCTCAGGGGTGCAGGCTGTGCAATATCAGAGGAAGATGTTTGTGGATGTAAGAGGAAATGTATGATGAAGCAATTAATTCTGTACTTAAAAAAGTCAAATCACTATTAATGTCTGTGAGGTGAAGTGAAGGTCAAAGCTGTAACAGAAAGGTGAAGGAGAGGAGATAAAGGTGTCTTTGTGACTCAGCTGGATGCACAAGCTGAAATGGTGCAATGGCTCCCTCTGCAGGACAGAAAGAGCAATGACGCAAGCTGTCCAACACCTTTTTAAAGGAAGGGATACAGGAATAATACATTCTAGCTAATAATTCTGGTAACAAATAATGCAGACATGTATCTCCATATTGAGTTGAACTATTGTAATGGGAAGAGATTATAGGAAAGATAATGTTGTTTTTTCTCTCAAAGTTGAACCAGTCCAGACAACGACGTAGAGCTTAGTAGTGGAAAGAAAGACACAACAAAAATCATTGTACCATACATAAAAAGCCAAACATGGTTATGAGGTCATTTCTTCCAGACTATTTCAAATGTTTTCTTTGTCGAGCTCCAGACAAG